TAATTATGGATAAAAACTCATACAACAATAAAATTCAGGACCTACTCAATGATGGTAGTTACTCAAAAATTAAAAATGACCCAACTAATAGCCTAACTATAAAAACCAACAAGATCATCACAAGTTCGACCTCCCTAATCGAACCAACTAAACGTCCCTCCCTAAAACCTTCTGCTGCAAGACCCCCTAGATTCTATGGTCTTCCAAAGATTCATAAAGAAGGCACCCCACTACGACCCATCGTATCCACGATCAACTCCCCTACCTATAGACTGGCCCGTTTTCTGTCAGATACCTTGCTGCCTTTCACTGGCAAGACCGCCTCAGCAGTACTTAACTCAGATCAATTGGTTTCTATGGTCAAAAACGTTGTACTGTCCCCTGACGATATCCTTGTCAGCTTCGATGTGGTCTCCTTGTTCACCAAGGTCCCGGTACCTGATACCATTGATATAATTGAAAATTTGGTACAACATGGACTAAACCCCGAGGTACCTACGCTGGTCAGGCACTGCCTCACCAACACCTACTTCACTTGGAATGGTTCCTTCTACAAGCAAAATGAGGGTATTCCCATGGGTTCCTCCTTGTCACCAGTGATAGCCAATGTTTTCATGGAGAAATTTGAATCGGACGCCATCCAGACTTCCACCCTCAGACCTTCCCTGTGGAAGAGATATGTGGATGACACTTTCGTCATTTGGCCACATGGCCTCCCAGCTCTGAACCTTTTCCTACACCACATCAATTCCAGACATCCCGCCATCAAATTCACCATGGAAGTGGATAAAAATGGCAAGCTACCATTCTTGGATGTTCTGTTTGAGAGGAGACCTGATGGCTCATTGGGGCATTCTGTCTACAGGAAACCCACCCACACAGATTCCTACTTGAAGCCTGATTCCCACCACCACCCAGCCCAAAATAATTATCTCATCAAAACTTTATACTATAGGGCTCATTGCATTTCAGACCAACACCACCTGACCAGTGAATTAAAACATGTACACCTGGCCCTCAAAAGGAATGGATACTCTGACTGTACCATCCGCCAAGCTGTTCCTCCCTCCATAAAGAAACAACCACTTGATACTCCGGTCAAAACCATCACACTACCATATATAGCAGGCGTTACTAAAAAGATTTCCAAAATTCTAAACAAACACAAGATCCAGGTCCGGTTCAATACCGTGCACAAAATTCGTGATCTGATCCCATCCGTGAAAGATGTCATTCCTGACTTACAGTACCCCGGGGTTTACAAATTGAGTTATACTTGCGGTGATTGCTATATCGGGGAGATGAAGCGACATGTCTCTGACCGAATTCGCGAGCATAAATCAGATTTGAAACACGGCAGAACAAATTCTTCTGCCGTGGCTGATCACTCTTACAACGCTGTGGGTGATCACGATATAATTTTCTCCGATACCAAGGTTCTTTGCAAACCCACAGGTTATTATCACAGATTTGTTCACGAGGCAATTCAGATCTACAAACACAGACACAATTTCAACCGAGAAGATGGTTTCAAATTAAGCGACCATTGGAAAGATGTTCTAAATCGAACCAAACATTAAACTCATTTTCATTGGTAGAGTATATTTTTTAAAGTAATGGTACCCCAAACTTTCGCAGCACAGGCGGTTGCATTGCCGTCGCCGATCACTGAGCTGCACCTTTCATCATGCTAAGTCCGCCAATCAAATGCAAATTTTTTATGCTAATTCCTTTGTCAAGGCACCCTAATCTCTCTCACACAGCTTAAAGGTCGTGGTCTGAGCTTGGCTCTGTTTCACTCCAGCGCAGTCTTCGAGACAGTCTGGTCCCTTCACCTGATGAAGGCCGCTTGTGTTGTGGCCGAAACGTCGTGATTTTTGTTGTTTTATTTTTTTACCTACGTGACTTTATCGAATAGAACCAAAGAGTATGGATCCTTGCAGTCACGAAAGCTTCAAATCTAGAAAAGAATAGCTGCTATTGTTAGTTAACGCCATGGGCTCGCATTCGACATAGTCCAACAGATGCTCTTTTCTTCAGAATCATAAATATGTATTTCTACTAGAAGAATCAAATGAGCTATGAAGCTCTTTTTTCATCACGGATGTCCAGTTAGGGGTACGGGGTCAGAACGTTACAACAACAAACAATAAAAACAAAACACGATAAGCAGTGCAAAGTATAGGAAAGGTAAATGAATCACTAAAAAATATACAAGTAAAACTAAATATATATTTTTGTATCTTACCAGGTAAAGCCCACTAAGCCATTGGCTTATTTTCAGAAGCGACCTGGTCAAGCATGATTGCGCAACAAAGTGGCTTATCACCATGTTGAAATTTATAGCAGCAAAAATAGAAACTCTTTCTTGAATCTAGCATAGTGCGCACACATTCATAGGCACGTGGACACTCACTCAAATACAAGTATGCAAATACACAAGGACATTATTTTAATCATTTTGGTGCTATTAATACATTTTAGGTGTATCTTGTAATTTTCTTGTTTGTTGCTGTTGAACCCAAATCAAGAGCTGAATGGCTCACATGGTAAATCCTAATAAAAAAACTGAAAACCGAAATGATGGGCTACTTTGTTGAGCTATCATTCGTGGCCAGATCGCTTCTGAAAAATAAGTTAACACCTCCGTGGGCTTTTGCTTGGTAGGATGGGGATGGTTTAGTGTTGTATTTGTTTGTGTGTTTGGGTGATTTGTTTACCTCTCTGTTACTTCCGACTACAATCGTGGTTTCGAGCTGTTTGTTGTTGAAACGTTCTTACCCGCCCCTACAGGACATCCGTGAAAGATAACTTTACAGCTTATCGGATTCCTCCAGTTCCAAAAAAATATTCAGACTGATAAAGACACAAAAACAAACAAATACAGGTAGTCCCCGACTTACGATGGAGATGCGTTACGACGACCCCCATCGTGAGATCGAAATATCGTAAGTCGGACCATTGTAAGTCGGGACCACCTGTACATACGTACACAGACAAAGTTCCACGCAGAGCGCTCAACTGAATGTTGGGGCAAGTGCTGTTAGCGAGCACCCGATGATAGCCCGAAAACGACACGAACGGGTGGTGTGTCCAGGACCCACGCCCGGTCGCCTTTGCCTCCCTAGTGCTTGCACGCAGGCATGCCTGCGTTATTAAAAGTACGTGAATTTCCTGGGGAATGCTACGAGGCCGACTTGGAGTATGGATTATTGGCGAAAGGCACTACCACTGAGTACACTAAATCGTGCCTATGCATAGAGATCCTCTATAATTGTACCCCTTCATTCCAGTAATTTAAAACGGATATTAAAACAAAAAGCAGAGAAAGAGAAACGAGACGAGTGTTTTTTTCTCAAATAGTTACTAGGTGAGTGAGCGAGCGAGTGGTTGTGACAGTGAATGAGTGAGTAGGTGAGTGATCGAGCGAGTGGGTGTGAGAGTGAATGAGTGAGTAGGTGAGTGATCGAGTGAGTGGGTGTGAGAGTGATTGAGTCGGTGGGTGAGTGATCGAGTGAGTGGGTGTGAGAGTGATTGAGTCGGTGGGTGAGTGATCGAGTGAGTGGGTGGGAGAGTGAATGAGTAAGTAGGTGAGTGATCGAGCGAGTGGGTGTGAGGGTGAATGAGTGAGTAGGTGAGTGATCAAGGGAATGGGTGTGAGAGTGATTGAGTCGGTGGGTGAGTGATCGAGCGAGTGGGTGTGAGAGTGAATGAGTGAGTAGGTGAGTGATCAAGGGAACGGGTGTGAGAGTGATTGAGTCGGTAGGTGAGTGATCAAGGGAATGGGTGTGAGAGTGATTGAGTCGGTAGGTGAGTGATCGAGCGAGTGGGTGTGAGAGTGAATGAGTGAGTAGGTGAGTGATCAAGGGAATGGGTGTGAGAGTGAATGAGTCGGTGGGTGAGTGCGTCTGAATTAGATTTGTGGGCAGCGGTGGCTCAATGGTTAGCGTACTGCGCTACGAGATCAGAGACCCGAGTTTGAATCCCGCTCACGACTAATAACACTGTCGAATACTTCAACCGCTCCTGGGCCTCCCCTAGGTCGACTCAGCCTCGAATAAGTAACTGGTGCGGTGTGTAAACATCGCCACTCAGGAGACAAAGGCGGCCGGGCGTGTTGTTGGCAACCCACCTCCTCGTGTCCCGTGCCGGCCTTCATAGGTGCTCGCTGCAAGCACTTGCCCCAACGGTCTGTCAAGGCTACACGGGGGGTCTTTGTCTTTGTCTGCAATGCACCGTCTCTCAGGCAAGGCAATGGGATGGCAATCTCACGTCGATCATCACCGGCCGTACGTCATCATCACTAATTATTAGCAATTATTTTATTTGCTCTCACACTCTTTGAGTCTTTCACACAAGCCTCAGCAGTCCGCCTGCTGTATTTTTTCACTTGAAGACCCAAAGAGTATGAATTCGTGCAGTCACGAAAGCTTTAAGTCAAGATATTATTTGTTACCTGGGCATAATAAATACCTCCCCTTTCCCCCACGTTCCACGGATCAAACGTCCCTTGATTATGAATACCGCTCGCTGCCGCTTCTACTTTTGGATGCGATTAATATTCCATCTATTATTATTATTATTATCACGACTAGAAATACCGTGGCGTTCATTTATTTATTTAGTCGAATCTTCGGGCTATCCCAAACGTGCGTCACTCGACCCGAGTCGGCACGCACGAGCGCGCGCGCGCTCTGCAATTTGCTTGAGGCCAAAGGGCGTCTGAAGAGAGACATAAAAGCGTGAGAATCCTCGTCCTCATCATCATCACCACCAAACACCACCACCGTCGCCACCACCACCATCAGCAGCACCAACACCACCACCATCATCATCACCACCAAACACCACCACCGTCGCCACCACCACCATCACCATCAGCAGCACGAACACCACCATCATCATCACTACCAACACCACCACCACCGTCGCCACCACCACCATCATCAGCACCAACACCACCATCATCATCACCACCAACACCACCGCCGCCGCCGCCACGACCATCACAAACATCACTACCATCACCAACCATCACAAACATCATTACCACCACCAACCATCACAAACATCATTACCACCACCAACCATGCGTCGACTGCACGTGGCAGGGTCTCTGCTGTTGCTGTCCGGTGAGTGGGTGTGAGTCGGCTTGGTGTATGTATGTTGAACTTCTTTCGCACCGTACGGAGCCAACAGTGCAAATCAGAGGTGCCGGTGAACAGCTATAGGTTGAGCGCGTGAGTGAGTATCGGGTGAATGAGCGTGAGTCGGGTGAGTGAGTTGTGAGTCGGGTGAGTGGTGAGTTGGGTGAGTGGGTTGTGAGTCGGGTGAGTGAGTGGTGAGTCAGGTGAGTGAGTGAGTGGTGAGTCAGGTGAGTGAGTAGTGAATCGGGTGAGTGAGTGGTGAGTCAGGTGAGTGAGTTGTGAGTCTGGTGAGTGAGTGATGAGTCAGGTGAGTGGTGAATCGGCTGAGTGAGTGGTGAGTCGGGTGAGTGAGTGGTGAGTTGGGTGAGTGAGTTGTGAGTCGGGTGAGTGAGTGGTGAGTCAGGTGAGTGAGTGGTGAATCGGGTGAGTGAGTGGTGAGTCGGGTGAATGAGTGGTGAGTCAGGTTGTGTTTTGCTCTGGTTGTTGGCGTGGGCTGGGTGGGGTTGTTGGTAGAGGGGGCGGTGGCGCAGCGGTTAGCGCACTGCGCTTCAAACCCGCCGACTCGAGTTCAATTCTCGCTCACGACCAATTACTGTCGCGATTACCTGAACCCGTCACGGCCTTCCCCTTGGCAGCCTCAGCCTCAAATGAGTACCTGGTGCGCTGTGGAAACATCGCCACTGGGGAGACAAAGGCGGCCGGGCGTGGTGTTGGCAACCCACCCGCTCGTGTGCCGTGTACGGCCCTTATAGGTGCTACTTGCTAACAGCACTTTCCCCTACAGTCTTTTGAGGCTATACGGGGGGGGTGGGGGTCAGACTTTCTTTGTTGTTTGTCTATATACCTGTCTGTATGTATGCGTCTCTCTGTGTGTCCGTGTGTCACTCTGTGTCTGTGTCTCAAATCTGCATGTGGATGTGTCTCCGCCTCGATCTAATGTCATTGGTACCTCTCTTATCTGTCTCTCTATCTATCTGCCTCTCTATACAATGCAACTCAATACCGCGATAGAGTTGTACATAGGCTACACGGGAGATCGGTTCGACAGTGTTCAGACACGTGGCCTCTCTGTCTACCTGTTGGCATGTATGTACACCCGTCCGTCTGTCTCTCTGTGTGTCCTTGTTAGCCTCTCTGTGCGCTGCTCAGCCCGTCCGTCTGTACGCCTCCTGTAACAGACAGAGGGACGGGCTGAGAAGCGGACAGAGAGAGGCAGACAGGGGACACGCAGAGAGGCCGACAGACAGGCTAGGCGAGTCGGCTAGCAGAGAGACAGACGGACGGGTGTACATACATACCAACAGGTAGACAAGGAGACAGAGAGGCCACGTGTTTGCCACTGTCGAACCGATCTCCCGTGTAGCCTATGTACAACTCTATCGCGGTACAGCGTTGCATTATAGAGAGCGATAGAGAGACAGATAGAGAGATACAATAACATTTGATAGAGGCGGACACACACACACGTAGATTTGAGCCTTTCGAGCTTGCAAAGCTAAACAGGTCCTGAGCCTGGATCGGAGATACCGGTTTTAGTTGACGTGGTGGGTAGACAGACGTTGGCCTCTCCGTCTACCCGTCTCTCAATCTGTCTCACCCGTGCGTCCATCTAAACAGCTGCTCAAACAAAGAGGCATGGAAAAAAATAAGAATAGATTTGACCCTTTTTCGCAATAACACAGGAGGTATCAAGATGTATACACACCGGTTGTAAATTACTGGCGAAACGTCGTACTCAGATTGTAAATGTCGCGGATTTTCTCTCCAACACACCGGTGTGCTGTACTAGTAGCGAAATGGCACGTTCTGTTTACGTGACAAACCTTACTAATTGGCTGTGTGCGGTGGTGGCGGGTTTAACGACATTCATATATATTTACGCGATCTAACCCAAACAAACCTGTGTTATGGAATATGTTAATTGTCCATAATAGAGGTTTTTTTTACATTTTAAATATGCATTGTCTTTGAAACTGATTGGCCTACACCAGAGAAAGCCTCCTTTACGGCCTAGTCTCGCCAGTGTCAGATCAGAGAGAACGCCGAAAGGCGAACAGTACAAAGACAATGCACGTATCGAAGCACTTATAGTTCAGGGGTGAACAGATACATCAAGGGACCTCCCCCCCCAGTATAAAAGTATGAAATAGAGAGACAGACAAACGGTCTCGTATCAACTTCCAAAGCTCGGCCTCGTTCGGAGCCACCCCTCCCCCCCCAGGGCGCGATAGCCCCGAGGTTGTCATTGCTGGCGTATTAGCGCCATTAGTCAGGAATCTAAGAGCGCCTCCGCCACCATCACCACCACCAACCAACCAACCGCCAACCCACGTCACGGTTATATACAGCGCCCAGAATTCTTGTCACCTACGTCGCTAAGTAGGTGAATCGTGACCCCGTGGGTCAATCACGTTCGCTCCGTGGCTCTCTGTCTGCCCCTCTCTTTCTCTCTCTCTCTCTGTGTCTGTATCTTTGTGTCTGTGTTTGGTTGCATGTGTCTGTCTTGCGTGTGGTGTCTTTCGTCCGGCAAAAACAACCCCCTACCTCCTCGTTGGTGCCGGACGGCAACGCTGCGGTGGGCAGTGCCGTGGGGGGGGAGAGCCTATTCAGATTGGCGATTCCCCTCATGGCATTTGTAACCACCACAGCAGCCAAATGGGGGCTCTGGACGGGTGCAAGGGGCTGGGAACCCCTCCACCTTCAAGTAATTACCACCAAACCACGTCTAAACTATCTAATTAATAAGCTTGTGCTGGAGGCCCTGGGGGGACAGGCGTCTATGACGTCTCCTGGCCAAACCCCATGTGGCGGAGCCAGGAGACTGAATCCTTACCCTCGGGGCTCCTCCAGAAACAACAAAAACCACTACTGGTGGCCACGTGGAATGTTCGAACGCTCACTGCGGAGGAGCATCTGCCACTCCTCTGTCGGGAGCTGGACCGGTACCGCTTGGATCTCTGTGGTAGTCAAGAGGTCCGGTGGAGCGGCTCTGGCTCCTGCCACCATGAGGGGTGGACAGTCCTCTACTCGGGGCAGGAGACTTCCAAACAACAGGGAGTGGCTCTTCTCCTGAACAAAATAATAAAGGGGGCGTGGGAGCGTGGCGGTGAGGTGTGGGAAGCTGTAAGCCCCAGGTTACTTTGGGCTCGCCTTCCCATCAACCAGAGGCGAGGAGTGGTGGTCGTGGTTGCTTATGCCCCCACCAAAGACCTGCTTCTAATTACCAACACGCTGTTCCAGCATTGGCGCATCCACACAACATCATGGATGCATGATGTTGTGTGGATGTTTGGATAAGCAAGAACATCTGCTGGACTCCCTAGTGATGGAACAGCGGATGCGGGCCCATGTCCTTGACACCAGGACCTACCGTGCACCTGCCATTCTTCCACTCCGGTGGTGGGTGTACACCTAGGACCCCATTCAAACTTATAGTGGCATGGTCTCAGCTAGCTGATAAAAGTTGCAAGCAAGACTTTTATCATCGCTTGCAGCTGGGGTTGGCATCATCCCCCATTCCTCCTGATGTCGAGGGGAAATGGGCGAGATTTAGGACTGTGGCTCATGCAGCTGCAATGGCTGCTTTGGGTACACAGTCCAGACCTCCCCAGAAACCTTGGCTGACAAGGGAGGTGTTCAAACTGGCTGAGAAAAAGCGACAGGCCCGCTCTCATCGGCTACAGCATCCCACGTCGAAGAATGAGAAGGCTTACGGCAGCCTTTGCTCGGAGGTTCGGAGAGCCATGAGGTGCTGCAAGGATAGGTGGTGGTCGCGGGTTGCTGAGGAGATGGAGTCTGCCTCAATGGCCCGTGATCACAAATCGCTCTTTAACTCCATCAAAAAAGTAACCTGCAGCGCCATACCTATTACCATCATTAGGGGAAAGAACGGCGATCCAATCACCGACCCCCAGGAACAGGTTTGCAGATTTTCTGAGCATTTCTGTGAGGTACTGGGGAGGGGAAATCTCTCAGCCTGGAAAACAACGTGGGACAAAGTGGGGATTAACCTGCTGAGGCTGCGGTGCCTCAAATATTGGAAGAAGAAGTCACCCCCTGTGAGTGGCTGGCTGAGGTGATTCAGGAAGTACTGAAGGTGATCCGGAGTCTGAGACCAGGAAAGGCACCGGGCACAGATGATCTCCCAAGCGAAATGCTGAGGGAGGGTGGCGTTTGTGCACAGACTGCCCTACATGACATCATAACAACAGTCTGGACCACTAGACGGGTTCCGCAGGATTGGAAGGATGCCCTGGTGGTCCCCCTCTTTAAGAAGGAGGACTGCACAGACTGTAACAACTACAGGGGGATCTCACTCCTCAGTCTAGGCACGCGGAGGAGAGGCTTGCGGAGCCCCAATGCGGTTTCAGGACAGGGCGGTCATGCACAGATGCCACATTTTCTGTCCGTCTGCTACAGCTGAGGTGTAGGGAATTCCAACAAGACCTACATCTATGCTTTATTGACCTGGTCAAGGCCTATGATACCATCAGTAGGCCTGGGTTATGGGTTGTTCTTCGTGCTTTCGGAGTCCCTGACCCTCTTCTCACGATCATTAAGGACCTTCATGATGGTAAGCGGGCCCGGGTAAAACTATGTGGCCGAGAGTCGGAGCCATTCCCTGTACACCTTGGGGTGCGACAGGGATGTTCTCTGGCTCCCACATTATTTAACATCTTTTTCAACCACATAGTTCGTGAAGCTTTCAATAGCTCTACTGGAAGGATTTCCATCTGGTACAGATCGATGCCCGGGTGCGGTCAAGGGATAGATCCCTATTGCTCAACCATGTTACGTATGCCGATGATCTGGTAATTGCTGCTCACTCAGAGGAGGAGTTGGAGGCGCTGCTGCTGAAACTGGAGCGTGCCACTAAGAGGTGGGGCCTTACCATCAGCCCCACCAAAACTAAGCACCTGCCTGGGTATTTTGTACCATCGGACACTCCACCCCCACAACTCCCAATCGGTGATGGGGCAGTTGTGGAGAGAGTGGAGAGTTTCCCATACCTGGGCAGTGTGCTCATGATCGGCTCTGGTTTGACAGCAGAGGTCTCACTCCGAATCAGTCGAGCGGCGTTATTTTTTCATCGGTTGTGTAATGCTGTGTGGAAGCTACCTGGTCTGTCGCTCTGCACGAAGCGTCAGGTCTTCTCGGCCACAGTCATTCTCTCCGTTTTCTACGCTTGCAACACGTGGACCCCCCTAATGGAACATCTTCACCGGTTAGAAACATTTAGGCTGGCCTACTTACGATCCATCCTGGGTGTAGTTGGCTGGATTGTCTGAGGAGCTCACAAATCCGTGAAAGATCTGGACAAAGTGCCATCGGTGAGCTCCTCCAGAAGGCAAGGCTGCGTTAGCTGGGTCATGTAGCCCGCATGCCAAGTCACCGCATGCCTAAACAGCTTTTGTTTGGCCGGATCGAGGGGGCTAAACGGGTTAGAGAAGAGATGGAGTGATGTGGTACAGGAGGATGTGGAGCTGAGTGGACTTGCCGATGACTGGTACCAGCGGCGTCAAGATAGGCCTCTGTGGAGGAGGCTCGTGAAGGACGCTACTGGGCAGTTGGAGGCAGTCGCCCTCCAACAACAACGGAGGGCGGAAGAGCGACGCTCACAACAACGAGCTGAGCGCCGGCTGGCTAAAGCACAGCAAGTTGGCACAGTAGGGGTTACAGGTGGTGCATCAGCCAGTCATCTCAGTCATCTCAGTCAGTCGACCCGTGGCACCTGGTTCTGTCTCGTGACTTCGTGCCAGCAGGCGTTCGACACTTCACGTGGCCTCAACGTGCACATAGCCTGGCACAAGCGTCGTGGTGACGTCACCGCGAATGGCGGTTGTTGTATGTGCGTGGCTTTCTCGGTCTGTGTGTGTATCTATGTCTATGTATCACTCTGTATGCCTATGTCTCTGTCTGTGTCTTTGCTTGCCTGCGTGTCTGTCTGTCTGTCTGTGTCTGTCTGTGTCTCTGTCTGCCCGTGTGTCTCCCTGTGAATGTTAGAGGCGGCAGGTGCCACTGCTTTATTTCTCAATGGATAGTTTCCGGGTATTTGGTGGATCAACATGGGCAGAGCCGTAGTGAGGAGTATACTGGATGCGGTGTGCCGGGAGGGGAAATATTTGTTTCCTCGTCACCGACTGGACAGCATCGCGATGAAAGTAAACCCTGGTTGTTGCGAATACGTAATTTATTCCGATTATTGATTAGGCTTGCAACATTTGTATCGAACCGCGTATTGACGTGATTTCAAATGACGTTTACAGCCCTGAGCCAGGGATGGAATTTCCACATTCCTATGGGCGGGCGCGAGTTCCAAATCGGACGACCACTGTTGACTTCCCCCCAACAACGCGGCGCCTATTTTATCGACCCTGGAGAGATGATGGACTGAGTCAACCCCAACCCCCCCCCCCCCCCCCCCCCAACTCGCAGCCTTCTGATTGCGAGCCGATCGCTCTACCTCTGAGCCACCTGGCTATCGGTGGGTTTTACGAACCTAGCCGCGTTTAGATCGGGTATGTTGTGTTGGTTATGTCATGAAAACGCGTAGGGTACACAATTGCGTATAGGGTCCGTCCATAGCCGGGTGCCGGGGGCCCCGAAGAAACTTTCACACGGTGGACCCTCGCATGCCACTTTGTGTACACTCGACACCGTGACTTGCAGCCCCCCCTTCCCAAAACGCGGGGCCCGGGGCGTTCGCCCCGATTCGCTGTCACCCCTTGGTACGGCGCTGAATGCGTAGAGCGGGCAAAGACAGCGGAAGGTTTACAAAGGTATGAAGGCATATTTCAAATATGCTTGGAGTAAAAGTCCGTAAAGAAGAACATACTTCAAGTTCTTCATCCAGCAGTAAATAGATATTGCCTCATTATGATGATGATGATGCTGGTGATGAACAAAGTTCAGCGGTCGACGCTAATGGGTGATGCTACTGCTGCTGCTGATGGCAATGTCGATGATGCTGATGATGATGGTGCCTTTGCTCCTGATGCTCGTGGCGTCAGTGCTGCTGCTATTGATGATGATGATTAATTACCTCCCGTTGTCTCTCTCGTGTTCCAGTCTTACTCCAGGTGCTCCGGTTGACAGACGCAGAATTATCAGGTGAGACATGTTACAGAGTAGACCGAATTCTGTCAGAGAAATGTGGAATGTCCAACCACTGGTTCACGGCCCACTCTGGAGACGAATATCTGATTTGAATAGAGGGACGCTGTGATTTTTAGTCAAACAGGACAGGTGAATTGGTCAGGTTAGACACAGGTGTTCCTTGCATAGATCATGCAATGTGTTCGAATATTTATTCCCGCGGCCAGGAATCGAACCCAGCTCGCGGGTAATTGTAGTGCAGTGCCAGAATCAATGTGCCCCCGCTCCCGCACAACAACATCCGACGTCCGTCACCACAGAGCGTGTGCCAGCCTAGGTGCACTTTGAGGCCGTGTGAAGTGTCAAAGATTCCCGGACGCACAGAGACAAAGATGGATGGCCACCGCCACGCCTTTGTCTTCCCGGTGCCGATGTTTATACACCGCACCCATTTGTGGCTGAATCGACCTAGGGGAGGTCCAGCAACAGTTTGGATAATCGTCAAGGACGTTCGCTGGCAGAAAACAGGGATCAAACTCGGTTCGCCAGGTTCGTAGCGCAGCACAGCACAACCGCTCCCCACTAAAGCACACAGACTAAGATCACCCCCCGTATAGCCTGTAACAGCCTGTTGGGGGCAAGCGCTGTTAGTGAGCGCCTATGAAGGCCGGCACGGCACACACGAGTTGGGGGGGCGGGTGGCCAGCACCACGCCCGGCCGCCTTTGTCTCCCGAGTGGCAATGTTTTTTTTTTTTAGACACAGCACCAGGTGCTCATTTGAGGCTGAGACGACCTAGGGGAGGCCCAGGACGGGTCACACGTGCACGCGCGCGTTCACGCACGCGCGCGCGCCTTTGATCCGAGCCGCCGGGCGTTCTCGCGTGCTTGCGGTGCCGTCGCGTGCGCCTGTGTTATGAGCGCCTTTCTTTAATTATTTAGTTGATTTATATTTATTTATCTTGACAAATTCACATCACACACTCGCACAAACTCGCACACACCAATCACTCGCAATAACTCACTCGCACGCACTCACAATTGTTCACACGCGCGCGCAATTACTCACGCATCACAATCACTCACTCACTCACACTCACAAATCTCAGTCACACTCACTCACAAATCTCTGTCACGCTCACGCACAAATGTCGGTTACACACACTCACAAATCTCAGTCACACTCACCACAAATCTCAGTCACACACTCACAAATCTCAGTCACACGCACTCACAAATCTCAGTCACACTCTCTCATGAATCTCACACAATCACGTTCGCAACCACTCACAGTCACTCATAATTACTCTCATCTCACTCGCAAATCACTCACGCTCATTAACAAAGACAAATGTCCCCCTTGTAGCCTTAACAGACTGTTGGGGCAAGTGCTGTTAGCGAACATCTATGAAGGCCGGCACGGCACGCACGCTCACAGACTCTCACACTCACATTGCCATACATGATCATACTCCCACACACCCTCTCAGACACACACACACACACAAAAAACATACCACATCCTCTTCTTTGGTTCTTTCGGTAAAGTCACGTAGAATGAGAATAAAATAAAAATAATAATAAAATAACACAATAAAATTCTCACGACGTTTCGGCTACAACACAAGTGGCCTTCATCAGGTGAAGGGACAAGACTGTCTCGAGGACAGCGCTGGAGCGAACACAGCCAAGCTCAGACCGCGACCTTTAAGCTGTGTGAGAAGAAACAGAGCGCCTTGACAAAGGAATTAGCATAAAAAAAATAGCATTTAATTGGCGGACTTAGCATGATGAACGGTGTAGAGGGGGTGAACATGTGCAGACCGGCGAAGGGGGGAGGTGGAGTTTACATATCCTCTTCACACTCCCTGACACACACACTCTCTCTCTATCTCTCACGCACTCACACGTAGGTGAACTGACGCGTTGCGTGATTCTCGCGCGCGTGAGACAGATGCCCAGAGCGTGGACGGCGTTCAGCACGGCGTGGCGTGCCCATCGGAGTTCGAGGGCTACTGCGTCAACGGGGAGTGCCGTCTCATCGCCCTCCACAAGGCGACGTGCCGGTACACGCGGGCCTGCAACCGCTCAGCTCACTCATCCACCTCCACTCCCTCCCTCTCTCACCTCCCTCACCTCCTTCCTTCACCTCTCTCTCTCTCTCACACTCACCTCCCTCTCTCACCTCCCTCTATCAATTCCCTCCCTCACCTCCCTTCCCTCCCCTCCCTCGCTCCCTCTTCCTCTCTGCCAATTACCTACCACCCCCTCTTCACCCCCTCCCCCCCCCCAAATCGAATCTTCCCCAACTTCACTCACCCCTCATCTCGCAACCCGTGGCTGTGAAACGTTCGTTGAAATTCTTTCGCGCCGTACGTAGCCCCACCGTGCTCATCGGAGGTGCAGTCCTAAAGAAATTAGTTTTGCCAAAATAGACATTTTAAAAGTGCACAGCTCCAGTCGCTTCCTAATATCGGAAGGGAAGAGCGTTCCAGACGGCCGCAGAAGGGCATCTGAAAGCGCGCGTTGCGGTGATGGCTGAGCCACAAAGCCCCTACCGCGGATGGCCGGAATTTGCGTGACAGTCCCTGCCCCTTGACGAGATCAGCAGCGAGGTAATCTGTGGTCGATTTGTGGCAAGCGCTTTGTCGTGTGCAATGAGTGCGACCCCGCAACGTTCTCCGTTCGGCCAGCGGAAGCCAATGCAGCAGCTAAGCGAGCCGCTGGGCGGCCGATTCATCCACCCACCCACTCGCCGCCTCCTCCCCATCCAGTCTGTCCCACCCTGCTGCTCGTCTGCCGGTCCATGCCCTCGCCCTTCTCATGCCCGGATACCCACACGGCCTATGGAATCGCTCAGTTTAAGAATTTAAACGCAATGGCAACATCAACACGCAAAGACAATGTGCGAACCCGCGGCAAACACACTCACTGTGGGTGCCTTACGTGAGCCCCGTCTGATTGGAGGCAGCAGCGATGCGGAGATTTAAAAAGAAACACTGGACCGACGTCGTCCTCATTAGAACTCATCAATGCGGTATAGCCACCTAACGCTAATTTCTGACAAGTCTTTCGTGGAGCCACTCAGCTCGCTCATTCGTCCGATCACCGCTCCCTCTTCGCTCGCTTCCCCTATCTACCTACACATTCACTCATCTAGCCACATATTCACTCATCTACCTATACATTCAGTAATCTACCCAGATATTCACTCATCTACCCACACATTCACTCATCTACCCAGATATTCACTCATCTAGCCACACATTCACTCATCTAGCTACACATTCACTCATCCACCCACACATTCACTTATCTAGCCACACATTCACTCATCTAGCCACACATTCACTCGTCTAGCCACACATTCAATCATCTAGCCACACATTCACTCATCTAGCCACACATTCACTCATCTAGCCACACATTCACTCATCTAGCCACACATTCACTCATCTACCCACACATTCACTCATCCACCCACGCATTCACTCATCTAGCCACACATTCAATCATCTACCCACACATTCACTCATCTACCCACACATTCACTCTTCTACACACACATTCACTCATCCACCCACGCATTCACTTATCTACCCACGCATTCACTCATCTACCCACACATTCACTCATCTTCCCACCCATTCACTGATCTAGCCACACATTCACTCATCTAGCCACGCATTCACTCATCTAGCCACACATTCACTAATCTAGCCACACATTCACTCATCTACCCACACATCCACTCATCTACCCACACATTCACTCATCTACCCACACATTCACTAATCTAGCCACACATTCACTCATCTACCCACACATTCACTCATCTACCCACACATTCACTAATCTACCCACACATTCACTCTTCTACCCACACATTCACATCAAATCTACCTACACATTCACTCATCTAGCCACACATTCACTCAGGGGCGCCGCGGTGGCGAGATGTTAAACGCCTCGCCTGGTAGGCAGGAGGTCCGTAGCGTCTATCCCGATCCTGACTCCTGCAGCTGTATATTTGAAGTCTGCGTGTTCTCTCCGCGGTCGCGTGGATTTTTCTCCGGGTCCTCCACATCGTGAAACACGCGTTTCGAGAATGTGTCCTCCACATCGTGAAACACGCGCTTAGAGAATGTGGCCGCTGAATATTTCGACGTGATAAGCCACATCCCTGAACTCTCGTTTGTGGCTTCTGAAAAAGATCTTTTGTAGCTCGGTGGGCCTTAACTGTTTAGTTCGGTTCACTCATCCACACAACGACCCACTCCACGCACGGTGCAAAATAAGTTCAACACCTATACATCACCACCACCCATCGTCACACTCACCCACCCACCCACTCGTTCACTCACTCGTCCCCCCCCCCCCCCCCGTTCAACCCGATGCCCTCTCCTTCGCCAGGTGTCACGACCACTTCAGCGGGGAGCGTTGTCTCTTCTACCTGGAATTCACGTCCTCGGAGCGGGAGCCGGGGCTCGGCTCGCTGCCGCTCGGAGTCGGTCTCGCGTTCCTCGCCCTGGCGCTCGTGGGAGCCACGGGCTGTCTCGCGTTCACGTGGTACGTGGGGGGGTTTGTGGGGTATTGATCCATCCATCATCGATACCACAGGACGGCAGGGTGGTGACTACGCAGTGGCAACACGCTTGCCCCGCAGCAAGAAGGGTCTGGGTTCCACTCTCAACTTGGGCGCTTGTCTTGAGTGGAGTTTGTATTCTCTCCCCCTGTTCTGCATGGGCTGAATAATTGCTTGCAAATTACTCATTTGGGATTACACTGAAACTAAACAAGCCAGGAGGCCAGCAACAAATAGCGCTCACAATATGCCTGCTGGTCAGATCGCGTGAGTTAAAACTAAAACATCTTAAACTATTTTTTTTGTTTTACCAGGTAAGGCCCACTGAGCTATAGAGCTATTTTTCAGAAGCGACCTGGCCACAAATGATAACTAAACGAAGTGGCTTATCGCGTGAACTTTTATTGCAACCAAATACTCTAAAGACATGTTTCTAAAAGTGGAGGGAAACACCGGAGGACCCGGAGAAAAATCCACGCGACCACTGGGATATGAAAACTTCAAATATACATAAGAATAGCTTTTACCCTTTCTGTCAATAACACAGTTGTGTTAAGATGTCAAAACACCAAACTGAAACCTTTTGCAAGTAATCATGTCTGAATTAACCACATGTACTTGTGGTGAACATGCAAACATGTTGCTGATAGTATACGATGCATTGTCTTTGAATCTGATTGGTCCACACCAGAGACAGTTTTCTTTAAAGCCTAATCTTGAACAGTGTCAGACCAGAAGACGCCAAAAGGCGAATATCACAAAAAAACTATCAGGACCTCCAAAATATAAGAATAGGTTTGAACTCTTTCTGGCAATAAGACAGTTGTGTTAAGTTGTTAAAACACCAAACTGAAACCTTTTGCAGGGAATCCTGTCTGCATTAACCACATATATGCCAGATGTCAGGGTCGGGATCGAACTCCACGACCTCGTGTATACCAGGCGAGGTAGTTAACATCTCCTAGCCACCGTGGAGCCACAGCAGCAGCAGCAGCGACATCGCCCCGCCACTACTGTGGACACCTGGCAGGACCCTCCTGGGAGCGAGTCTCGAGACTCAGTGAGGCTTTTATAGGAAAAATAAGCGGAGCAATGATAATTTTTCTCAATTTTCTGTGTCCTCCAAACACCAAGCTTATTATATATTTTTTTTCTGAGCAACAAGTGAAAACCGATTTCAATCGAGCATCGAGCCACTGGTTTTTACCATCCAGTGTACAGTCCTGCAGTGCCAGTGGTGGAAATTCCACATTCCTATGGCGGGGCGGGGGAGGGGGGGGGGTCTGCGTCAACCACCCAATCACGATTGTTACTCGCGTTGTCGTATATACATCAAATAATATTATAAATATATACACATGGTTATCGACACGCGGCACAACATCAAGCCCCTTCCATCACTTCCCGTCCAGCGGCAACACGTGGGAACTCAGACGAGACGCCCTTCCACCGCCGGTTAATTCCGCGTCGTACGAACGGCCGAGGGTTCGAAGCGAAAATCGACAGAGTAATGGGATGGCTTTGGCGATGGGAGAGAGCCCGGGTTCTACGTCGGTGCGACGGCTGTCCCTCCCGTATCCGCAGGTGGAAGCGACGAGGACGAGGATACCGCGAGTCCCTCTCGAGGGACGGACTCACGGCGCCCGGGCTCGTCTCACACGCCGTCGCACGCTCGCACGATCCCGTATAGGAGCAACTCAAGCCACGGTCACACGTGACTCCACCCACGGTCACACGCAACTCCACCCACGGTCTCGCGCGACTCCACTCAAGGTCGCACGCAACTCCACCAAGTTTCGCGCAACGCCACCCCCTCCCACGCGAGTGACGCTTGTGCGGGAAGCGAGCGAGAGTGATGTTGTGCATCTCTCCATGCACCTGGGCTCAGTGGTGGATGTGATGGATGAGTATGAATCTGTGGCATCTCCTGCTATGACCAACAACAACATCATTATCATGTTGTCATTATTACCGTGAAACCATCAAGCCAATCATTGGTAGAATAATAATAATAATGATTTTAACAACGGCATCCTCACATCGTAATCACCATCAACAACGGTGCATTTCGTTTTGTAACAGCATCTTCCTCTTTATCCTACTTTGCAATCATTACTATGATCACCGATTCTCTATCAGCACGCCGTCATTATCATCATCATCATCATTAATACCCTTCATTATATAGATTGCATACTTTATCGGTCACCTCTCTCCATCATCATCATCAGCAGCATATTTGATCACCATCTTCATTATCTCACTGTCATCATCCTTGTATTTCACTCTACGTATAAATACCATACTGCTGTTTCCCCTACCTATGTACAATCATCATTATGATTTGATGATCATCATGATATCTTTATCATCATAATCGTCATCGTTATCGTCAATACATTTCACTAAAAAAATATCCTACTCCAATCCCATCATCAACTATCTTAATGAACATCATCACCATCACTGCACTGCATCTCCATCATCTCTGCCTTGGAATCTCCGTGGCCATCAATTGTGTCCCACGCTCATTCTTCACCATCTCAAAGCCGCAGATCGTCTTACTTTCCACCTCTACGACCACTGTGTCGCCGCATCTGTCTCTGAGTGAGAGACATTACCAGAAGCATTATTATTATTTTTGCGTCGACGTCCAACTAATTATTAAGGTGGTAACCGCCTTGGTCGGCAGTCGTGCGCAAGCAAAACATTTACAACATCAACAAAGCTCAACACAATCCTCAATAACACCGTGTGTGGCCTTAACAGCAAAAAAAATATTAAATAGTCGACGTTTCGGGCGTATTGGCCACACTGAGTTTTGACGAAGGCGTAAAGGATTTCCAGCCTGATTAAAATTGTTTTTATTTAAAACGTGACCAAATCACCTGTAATGCGTGCCCGATAACGTCAAGTCTCGGAAGCTAAGCAGAGAAATGAGCCTGGATCAGAGGTGGGCAAATGTTTTGACTCGCGGGCCACAATGGGTTCTAAAATTTGACAGAGGGGCCGGGCCAGGAACAGATGGATGGAGTGTTTGTGCGAACTAATATAAATGACGTGTAAAAATCATTACATGAAAGGATTTGGCCTTTAACAGGTAGCAAAGCATTTATTTGCAATGCAATTTAACAAATTGCACGAACATGAACAATACAAAAACATGTTGTAACTCCCGGTCAAAGTGCGCCATCTAATGGGGAAATGGGGGCATTACAGGAGAAAGGTAAAATTTAATTTAATAATAATATTTGGACAGGTTCGGCGGGCCGGATTAAAAAGCCCAACGGGCCGTATACGGCCCGGGGGCCGTACTGTGCCCATGTCTGGCCTGGATAGTCCTCGGATGGGCGACCAACATGAACGACCGGTCGCTATCGGCTGCCCACGGAGCTGTGCTATGTGAAGGGCAGCAGAGAGGGCACGGCAGTAAACACATCCGTGTCGTATTAGTCTACCCAAGTCTAATGATCGCACCGAGTGGGGAAATATGACCAACACGATGATCCAGCAGTGGATGGGCAGAAGGCTCATACATGTCAATGCTTTATTTAAAGTTTATCTTAAGCTGTGCGTGTGTTCCACGTTGCACATCTTACTGCCGTGACGAAGGCCAACCCCGCCCAATGACAATCGGCTCTCATCTAGCAGATGTAACAATCTGCAGGGTTACATTTGTAACCTTAATGTATATTCTTGGTTCTTTCGGTAAAGTCACGTAGAAGGGAAACAATAAAATAATAAAAATATAATACAATATAATTCTCACGACGTTTCGACTGCAACACAAGCAATCATCATCAGGTGTGAAAACCACACCAAGAAAATTTGAAAAAAGTGGCGGTTTTTCAACGTTAGCACCACAGATAGCGATTTGACAGTTAGTTCAGATGGACGAGGCCATCTATTTTGATTTAAAGCTTTCGTGACTGCAGTGATTAATATTCTTGGTTCTTTCGGTAAAGTCACGTTGAAGGGAAACAATTAAATAATAAAAAATATAAAAGAATAAAATTCTCACGACGTTTCGACTGTAACACAAACAGTCATCATCAGGTGTGAAAACCAACGGCAAGAAACCGCCACTTCTTTCAAATGTTTCTTGCCGTTGGTTTTCACACCTGATGATGAATGTTTGTGTTACAGTCGAAACGTCGTGAGAATATTATTATTTTATTGTTTCCCTTCAACGTGACTTTACCGAAAGAACCAGGAATATGACTCCATCTATGTTCGGAAAAGAGGAGGGGGGAGACGAATAATAATGGATGCAGTCTGAAAGCCACCTTAAGCGTGATCAATCAATCAAGACCCGAAATGGTTTATCAAATCCTTCCAATGATTGCTATTTATTAATTGATTGATCACGCTTAAGGTGGCTTTCAGACCGCATCCATTATTTTTCGTCTCCCCCCTCTTCTTTTCCGAACATAGATGGACTCGTACATCTGAACAAACTGTCAAATCGCTCTCTGTGGTGCTAACGTAAAAAACGCCACTTTTTTCAAAATTTATTGTTGTGGTTTTCACACCTGATGATGATTGTTTGTGTTGCAGTCGAAACGTCGTGAGAATTGTATTGTTTTATATTTTTATTATTTTATTGTTTCCCTTCTACGTGACTTTACCGAAAGAACCAGGAATATGAATCCCTGCAGTCACGAAAGCTTTAAATCAAAACCTTCATTTAGTTTTATTATTTCCGTTGACCAGCGCGGTGAAGTATGGTCCAATGACCAACACGGTCCGCACTGACTGGAGGAGCAGTCCCTCGTCCAACAGAGAACGGACACAGAGGGCACTATGGGTGGGTTTGCAATAACATCACCTCAATGTGTTTTAAAACAAAATCGCGATGCGTAGCTGCAAGAGCTGATCGTTTTGTGTGTGTGTGTGGGGGGGGGAGGTTATTTTTGATGTATTTTAGGGAGCACGGGATGTCTTGCGGCCCCCTAGTCTCAAATTTTGGCGGAAAGGGGGGTAATTTTCTCCGAGTGCCCGCATCCCTACACACGCACACACACGCGCCTCCTCCAACCCCACATCCATGCGTTCCATCACCACCGCAAGCCTCCCCAAAACCACCACTCATCGTCACCACCACCACCAGCGGTAGCATTCATAACCGCTACAATTCCCCACCACCACCACCACCATGCACCCCCCCCCCCTACCATTCACCCCCCCCCCCTTTTCCACTACTGTCCACCACCTACACTCACTATAACCACCGCTCCCACCTACCAAACAAAGACAAAGACC